CTCTTAATGAATAGAATGATTTGTTCTAATGGTGTTTGTAAATAGGATCTCAAGTCCGCATCTTGTACAGCAATTAACCACTAAGAAGAATGTATCACTGTGTTAATTATTGAAACTGTCCTACCAATTTGATTTGAAACTGTCTCATTCCTATTTGTTTATCAATAAAATTATGGCAAAAAAAAGAAAGCTACCTTAAACTAAAAGGAGAATCCAATTATGCATTAAAGCCGTTTTGCAATACTTAAAAGCTTTTTGCTAACATCTGGAAATTCACAAGTGAAAAAAATAATAATAATTTTGGATCCCAGCTGAAAACATAGCAGAAAATCATGGGAAAGGGGGACCACCCTAGAAAACAGAGTACTCAAAAATCAATTTTACCAAACACATCCAGGGTCTCTGTGTTGGAAATTACAGGGCACTGCTGAGAAAAATAAAAGAGAACGCAAAACAACATAGAGATAAATCGTATCACAAATTAATAAACTCAATATTGAGATGTCAACTTCCCAATCCTGACACAATGAACTCCCCTTCAAAAAATCCTCGTCATAATCTTTGCATAACTTGACCCCTTATTTCAAAGAATGAGAAACTGAGTGACCTAAAAGCTCAAACAACCTTTCTAAGTGACAGCTAAAGGAGCCGCCCGATATGACGCCAAGATCACTACAGAGCCAGGTAGCCACATCAGCACGGAGCTGTCACAAAGCAACGCCAGCTGAACCAGAAGGCATGCCCAGGACTGGGCCCGACACAGGGTCAACGGACTTCTCATAAAAGCACCGGGTGATTCAGTGAGAAAGGAAAGTTCTGGGGCTCTTACAACAAATACTAAAACAATTAAACTATGTGGAAGAAAAACCTGTGCCATACTAAGGAGTAATTCAACGTGAGTCATAAATCGAAACAAAAAACTAATGAAGTTCTTAAAAGAAATTATAGAATACATTGGTGATACTACAGCATCACAGATAACAGTATTAAAGAAGAAAAAATTTGCATATAATAAATGTAAAAACTGATTAGCTGACTTCCTCAAAATTCAAATTCTCATCAAAAGACACTATTAGCAAAACAAAAACTCAAGCAACCATGAAAAAAAATCATAGTTCGAGTATCTGGCAAAGCACTTGTATTCAAAACCACAAAACAGTAACAAAGATTAAGAAAATCACATATAAATAAATAGGCAAAAGATTTGAAAATGCAAATTAAAACTTCAATGAGATTATTCCATATCCACCCAAAATTTTAAATTTTAAAACCTGACAATACCAAGTACTGGAAAAAAGGCAGAGTGACTGAAACTTTCACACAAGTAAAATGACAGAACTTTAGGTATAGTTTTGAAAGTTCCTCAGCAGGGAAGTGGACAATGGCCGGTAACTGGCCACCTTGGAATGCACTCAAGATACATGGAAAGCAATGCCTACCGAAAGGTTTACCATACTAGAGCCCACAAGCCGGATCAGCTTAAAGGCACACATGAGGAATTAGCTAATGAGCAATTCATAGCACCCAGCTGAGCTGAATCAGCTTGGTCCTGGGGGTGGAAGGCCCCCCGGAAGCCTGCTGCCAACAGCATAAAAAGAGAGCTGGAGGGGAAGGTGCGCTGCTGTTGATTCCAAGCTTCTTAGAGAAGTTTGTCACGCTGTTTTTCCTGATAAGAACTCAGCTATTCTCATCTCAGAACTTGCGGTCACTGGGGATGGCTGTGGTTCTCCTTGGGGGAAGCTCGGGTCCTTACCTCGAGCTTGTGTCCTGGCTCCAGTACAGATTTCTGTCTGCTGGCACAGATCCTTCATCCAGCTGGTGCAGACTTTCAAGCTTCCCTCTGGACCTTCCCAGTGCAGATCTTTGACACAGAATTGCACTAGACACTGTCATGGGCTCTAGGCCTCCCACTGGAGTTGTAGAGGACATTGCCATGGCCTCTAGGTCTTCAGCTGGACTCTACAGGACACTGCAGTGGGATCCAGGTCCTCATCTAGATTTTCTGGGTCTCTAGTGTGTGGAGAGATCTCCTGCACTCTTTTGTATTTGACTCTGAGTGAATATTATAATGTATTAAATCTTTCCCTTTGTAAACCCTCCATGCAACAGCACACAAGAGAACTGTCTGAAAGTTTCTAGATCTTAGCAGGGGCCTCAGTCTAGAGAACAGACAGGAAATTTGGGAGCTGTGATGGAGAAGCTTTTAGAGAATGAGCGCCCAAACTGCAACCCAAAACCCACTTACTGATTGCCAAGTGCCAACACTACAATTAAACTTGAATATCAATTTTTAGTTCAGGAAAGAACAACTCATATCAACATCTTTTGTCCTAAAAGTAACGTGTGTGCCTGAGGTTCATGGCCTCTGCTCGCGAGTCTACCTACACGTACACCTTCCTGACAGATGTCATCTGCATCTCATTTAGGCCATTATTTGGCAGTTGCTTTCACAACTGAATCTGATTCTAACTTCAGACAATTCATGAGGTAGGAACTCAAAATTAAGCCTCTTTACTCCTGTATGATCCATAATGGGAATTAAACCAATTATGTTGTAATGCGTACCTTTTAGCTTTTCTTCCCCAAAATTTCTGTAAGGAGTACCTTTACTTTTTCACCCAAAGAAAAAAAAGCTAGCATGCAATCTCTATGATTTATTGTGCAACTGAACATGCTAAGAGACAAAATGACATTTTCCACTACAAATTATTTGGTGCCTGTGATATTCTGAACACCACAACCAGATGGTTCTCATAGAAACTGAGAAGACAGTATTCACATAGTTCAAAGGTTTGCTTATTTTTTAGTCTCAAAAAAGGCTATATTGATTGTAACATGCAGCTCTACAGGAAAAACCCCGACAGTGGAGGGGAATGCTGATATTTATTACTGCACTTGTGCTCATTATGGCTGTCTCTGACAGGGGTCCATTAAAATCAATTTTTATGTTTCTTATGTATTTTCTTTATCTAATGTTCTTGGCATTGTGTTTATTAGCCAGTTAAGACAAACGCCAAGTATAGGAGTGGGTGATATTTTTTCTTCTGTCAGAAATAACGAGAACTACAATTTTAATACAACTGCTCACAATCAATGAATGGAGGAAATTAAATGTTACATTTCAGAACAAAACATTAAGAAGCGCTTTAAATTTTTTATGCTTTTTACAATTAGAGAAATAGAGTGAGGATCACGCAAAAAGAGAACCACGAATCTTCTCAGAAGGAACAGCAACACTCTCCGTGGCCCTGGGAAGGACTTTGGGGCTTTTCTCCGGGTGTCGGAGCTTGCAGCACACACCCCCCAGCCCTGTACACCTCGAGGAGGGCCACGAAGCTCCACAGGGCCATTTCAGAAGAGTCACGCAACCTTACTGGGTGGGCCCTGACACACTGAAGATGGGGCTTGATTTCTTTAAATGGCACCACAAGGATATATGCACAACCATGTTTACAGCAGCACAGTTGGTCACAGCCAAATTCTGGAAGCAACCAAGATGCCCATTACCTGAGGAATGGATGAAAAAGATGTGATATTTTTATACAATGGAGTATTACTTGGCTATAAAGAAAGACAAACTCGAAGCCTTCATAAGTAAGTGGATACAGCTAGAGTCTATAAGTGAAATAAATTAGACCCTCATCTGTAAATATCATCTCCCTAGTTTAAGAACCTGAAAGAAGAAATAAAACCCGAAAGCTATAACAGATATAGTAAAACAGAACTTAAGGATTAAACAACAAAGATGAGAGAAAGGAGAAAAGATAGGGGAAAAAAAGCAGGGGGATAAACATGTAAGTATATGTACAGGATGGCTAAGGTGATTGTACTAAAATTTTCATCAGTTTTTGGAAAATAGCAGTTAATGTGTAGAATTTTCACCTTGACTAACTGTATGCTGATACCTACTATCTAAGCAACTACATCCAGGACAGCAATGTGTAATACAAAAATCATGTTTGAATACCTATCATCTTGGTCTTCTAAATGTGTGCCATTTCTAATGGCATATCAATTACTATACTCTCTTCAAAGTATTTTTTTTTAAAGGTAAAAAAGGACAAACAGGAAAACAAGAGAGACAAGAACAAAAATTTAAGGTTTCTGTAAAGCAAGTGGTACTATGCAATCATATGTCCAATCTTACATAACTATATCTGTTAATCTGAGCAAAAGATTTGATGATAAAAATAGGTAATAAATCAACCACTGTTAATCAGCTAATCTTGCTTTGAAAATCTGTAACATATGTATTGTTGTATGTTACCTTGTTTCTGTCATTGTTTCTGATTTTTGTGTTTTTGTCTTTTACTTTTCAAAATGAAATAATAAAATTAAATTTAATAAAAAACCCCTCAAGATTAGGCACACACCTAACCCTCATTAGGCACACAGCTCCTGACTACCAAACTGCCAGAGGCATTCTGCTACCACATCACCTGGATTCAAGAATCAAAGGGCTCCAAGCTCACACTTGCACAACTCCTCTACAAAAGTAGAATTTAATCAAATGTCTCAGAGATACCAAACAAAAGTTATTTCCTGATGGTGAATCAGAGCTGGAGGATTCGTTCCCTGGCAACACACAGTGCCTGAAAGGACAATCACAGTAGACCACATAGAATGACACTAATTGTGGTTGGTAGTGTCCAAGTCTGCTTTATGCTCTGAGCAAGGGTAAGCAAGCAGTAATCACATCTACTGTACTTGCTTCTAGGGATTTCTGCCCATGCCACCGAGGCAGTCGGCCTCTTCCGTGGTGTTCACACTCACTCAGTGCTCGAGGTCTTCCGGTTGAGCAGCCGTATCCCGTGCAGTCCCTGCTCACAACCAGATATCTCTATTTTCCCCAAAGGGCTGTCCAGTGTTCTGTATTTCATCTCACAGGTCTTGTCCATCCTGCCAAAGACCTAGGCAAACATATTTTTTAAATCAAGAAAGTGTATACAAAAGCACTTGATCACATATACAGCGCAACAGAAGCACATATTTTATTTAACACAAAATATAGGTTCAAAAGCTTTTCCTCATTATGGGAATTTAATCATGTGTCACTTCTACAACACAGTCACTTTAAGACAAAATTACCACAATTACCTAGAGCAGCCAACCAATGCCCTCTTTGCACTCCCTTAAATTACTACAGCTCCATCCTCACCCACCTTCAACCAATGCAGGTGGAGAAGCAAAGCTGGCATGAGGCGTTCTTAAGTAGTACCTAAAACTAAGCTGACCTTCATTAAGCAGATGATTACCAGGTGATGAAAACTGAAGACAAACTGTTTTCTATTTTGAATAAAGTACAGTAAAACCTTGGTTTGCAAGCATAATTCATTCTGGAAACATGCTTGTGATACAAAGTACTTGTACATCAAAGCAAACTGCCCCACAAGAAATAATGGAAACTCAGATGACTTGTTACACCTAAAAAAATTCATATAATACTATAATACTGCAATATAATACATAATTAAAAATTTTAAAAAAAGAAAACCAAATTAACCTGCCCTTACCTTTGAAAGCCTTTATGGCTGGTGTGAGGGAAGATAAGCGAAGTAGGGTTGTTGTGTAGGACAACTTCCACTATCATTAGAGGAATCACTGCTACCTATTGGCTTGATGGAACCTTTTTCTTTTTGTGCAACTTGAATAAGGAACCTATCCAATGACAGTTGCTTTTCCCTCCTTCTGAAGAGTCCATGGAAATGTTATGCTATGCTGTTTTCAAACAGATTCACTGCTCACACAGCTAGAGCCCCCAAAATTTTGCACTGGCTCCTACATTTTATACATTTTCCTAATCTCAATAAAAGTGAGGAACTCTTCTACCTTTTTCTCCTCCTCCTCTGTAGATAAGATCTCCACAGCCTTTTGCTGTTGGGAGATGATCACCCACAATCCCACAGCAAAAGAAAGAGAAGAGCTATTAGCTCAATTGTGATCACGTGATGTTCAGCAACCTTCATTACTCAAGCCGCAAGATAGCTCATGTGTATCAAGTTAAAATTAGAAATGCTTGCTCATCTTGAGGAACACTAGCAGACCGAGGTACTTGCAATCCAAGGTTGTACATTTATAAGAAAAGCCTACCATGGAGGCGGTAGCTCAGCTGCTGGCTAGCATGCACAAGGACAGGCTAGCATGCACAAGGACAGGCTAGCATGCACAAGGACAGGCTAGCATGTCTTGGTAGTTAAGTCCAATTCCCAGCACTACCAAGAGAAGGGGAAGCACGAGTGAGCTGCCTCCTATGGTAGAAAAGAAGACTGAGCCAGCACCAACACAGAGCACCTGTCACCTTGTTAGCAGGTCTGCAAGAGATAAAGGGCAATGCTGCAATGAATCATTACGCAGTGCAAATCATGTAAACTTAAATCTGCACTCAAAGAACTGGGAAAACATTGTCCTGTGGATGTCTCCTCTGGATTAACAATTCTGATAGATTTTAATTTTGCTCTACATCACAAGGACTAAAAACAAAGACATACTAAGAGCAGTAAGAAGCCAGCAATGGGGCTTAGAAAAATTAATATTCTACAAAAATCACCCTCATCCAGGCCAGAGGACAAAGTAGAGGAGCTAGCGCCTGTAGCAGATGGGGCCTTTGCTCTTCTTTCCCTTATGGCTCCTCAGGAAACCTGAAATAGAGGCTCATAGCCTCCCCACTGCCCTCTATACCAAGGAGTCCCAGAATGCACCTGTGACTCCATCCACTAGAGACAGAGGGAAGCACCTGACCGCGGCAGACCGAGAAGCCAGTCTCACTTTCCTGCTGCCTCTGCCTTTTCATGTTAAAGCTATCTAAATGAACTTGTCCAAGACCATCACCTTGTGACAATGTTCTCTTCTACGTAGCACTCTATGGACTGGCACCACCCCCTACCTTCCTTATTCCAAACCAGGACTTTCCGAGGAGCTCTCCTCTAGCCCACCATCTTACACCTGTGCGTCAGTCAGATCTTGATCTTTTTCAGCTCTTGAATCCAGCGTGGCCTCTGTAATGATGGCCTCACCTACAGGCTCCAGCAAACCTTGCCCACATGGACAACGCCTTCCTCATAACTCCATTTTTTTAAATGTAAAACCATGAATTTCATTCTAAATCAAAACACTTTCGCAACAGGGAAAATTATGCCACTATGCATACTGCCATTCTCTGACTGTGGTCAGGACCTGGTCCTAGTCCACCAAGGTGGCAGAAGGGTGGAGGCAAAGAAAACACAAAAGAAAGGTAAACAGTCCTGGCAGAGGGGTGGGGAGCCTGCAGAAGAGCAGGCTGAAGGAACCTCCGCCAGTGTTGGACCAGTGATCGCAAGTCAGCTCTCCTGCCCCAAAGCCTGACGGGGTGAGTAGGGCCCCATAAAGTTCACAGTCAGGGTACATGGCCGATCTGGCTTTGCTAACAAGTTCCTGGTATGCTTTCGCTGAAGGGGAAGGGGGGGGCTCTCCTGGGGTCTATTTCATTAAAGATTCTAATTGATTTGTCTTCCTACCCCCAACTCTTCTTTAATGCTTCTGTCCTCAACTGGCTGAAATAAATCTCCCTCCACTAGTGGGGAACCACTGTACTGGGGGAATAACACCACAGCAAAGATAACCCAGGGGATCCTGACTTTGGGTGCAGAAGTTGATAAAAAGGTACTCTTGAGGGGTGCCCAAAGATGTTTAAAACACATCAGGCACACTGTAAGGTGGCTGGCTTATTCTTACCAATTGAATCTGTCAAATCAACCACTTACTCAATAGCTTCCATTTTTTAAAAATGTTGAACTCTGGTATTAGCAGTTGTAAAGGAAAAATGGTGGGGACATTACTGCTGTGGCTTTCTACTACAAGTCCAGAGGCCCTGCTATAGATGCCGAGGAAAGCCTGCACTAGGCAATCAGGAGCCAGAATCACAAGGGCCACAAAGAGGAAGGGGGGTGACACCACATGAGCTGCTCATTTGCACACTACAGTGTCCTAGGGACAATTGGAGGAGGTCACATGTCATTTATGTTAAATACTGTGGCAAACTGCCAGAGAATTACCCCAATTCCAAAAGACATCTGGAAGCCACTATCTATAATCCAAATCCTCCTTTATTCTCCAGCTCTGGCTGCCGGATTTAAGGATAAGAAAGGATCTTCTCCCAAAAATTAGTAAAAAGAAGGTCTATAAGGACAGCCAACATTTTGGCCCTAGCCATTCAAGGTCAGTGAGGACTCAGGACATAAGAGAACCTATACTGTAACATCCTGTAACTCAGTGGTATAGCAAATTTTCTGATCACAGAGATCATGGGACCACAGAGGAAAGTGACAGAAGATGTAGAGTGTGCCTGAGGACAGTCACATGGAGAGAAAACATTCTCTCAGGCTTTCACAGAGAGCAAATTGGTCAAGCAATGGCTGTGACTCATGCACATGGCTGAAATGGACAAAGGATCAACAAACTGTGGTACAAGGTTACAGGGTAAATTCAGAGGGAATTTGATTGACCTTGTCAGATAATGAAGTTATATGTCTTGTTATATAGGTCTTCCTTTATCTTGTTCTTAAACATCCGGCAGAAAAATATAAAAACAAGGTATAAAAAATAAAGCCATATTAATATGCTGAGCTGTGAAAGGCTCAAGTCAACAACTTCTGACACTGTCAGTGCTATGGATACCCCAGTACTATTA